CTGCTAGGGTCCCGTTGCAAATCACTCTTCCCCTGCTCAGCGCCATGTTCCTCGTTCCCCTCTCATTTTGAAACTGGGACTTGAGCAAAGGTCTAAGCCGCAGCTGGTGCATGGCCTGTATGTGCAGGCAGTGCCAGCTCTGGCAGCGGGTGTGGGCAGGGGGTGGGGGTGAGACACAATACAGGTCAGGCTTAGACTTTTAGAAGAGAAAGGAAGCACGTTAAGATCTTGCAGCCCGGATGACCGTACAAAGAAGTCATTTCCATGTCTAAGCTCCAGAGGTGGGAGTAAATTTATTAATAAAAGGGTGCAGGAGGCGAGCTTGCTGTGCGTGGTACCGTGCTGCTGCCCGAGAAGGGTGGCTGGGACTAGCTCCCCAGGGCTGCCATGGGGCTGGCACTGTGTGCTGCTGCTCGGCTCAGAGGTGGCTCTGGCACAGAAAGCCCCGGTAAGCGCAGCTTCCCCCGTGGCCGTGGCCGGCCCTGCAGCCCGGACTGCAGGAAGCAGTCCTGGATCGGAAGGCTTGATCCAGCCCTGGGGCCGGCACGTACTGTGTTTTGGAGCAGCAGCGGGCTGTTTTGCTGGGAGGTGCTGGTCCCGCTTCCGGGGCTCAAAGCAAGAGGTCTAGCGCAATGACTGACAGAAGGAAGAAAGAAAAAAAAAAAGTGTCTCCATGAGGCCAGTCAAGCGCGGAGCCATTGGAGAACCCGTCCTTGGAGACATTCAAGACCCAAGAAGCCAGGGCTGCCCTCGGAGCTGGCCTGGCTCTGGGGCTGTTGGAGCAGAGCACGCCAGAGGCTCCTTCCAACCCATACACCTCTGGTGCCCCTTCAGTTTAGAAGAGCAAGCGGCACTGTGCAGGCAGCTGGGCTGGCTGCAAAGTTGTGGCCCCTGCCCTGCGTGCAGCAGGCAGGCTAAGGCTCAAGGGACACAGCGTTGGGGCAGGGAGCTGCGGGCTCAGCTGGGGCTGGTGCGCGCAGCTTTGGCCAAGGTGCCTCTCTTGGAGGGGTTTCAGCTGGGCCACGGGGTGAAAGAGGAGCTCTCCCACCCGCGGCACTGAGGCAGCGTGGCGGGTTTGCAGCCCGCTGTCACCGAAGTGCCCCTCTGTGGGACTGCGTGCTCCTGCCCGTGAGTGATGCGGTGGAGCCGTTTGCGGAAGAACGGGGCAGGTCTGTGCAGCCAACGGCTCAGCTGAGCCGCTCGTGGCACCACAGCCTGGGACTGCGGGGGGCCCTGCGCGTCCCTCTCCCGTGCCGTGGAGCCCGCTCCTTTGGACCTGCCTCAGCAGGGTGCTTGGCAGCCTGCAGCCCGGCAAAGCCAGCTCAGTGGGTGCCCTGGCCGTGCTCCCCTGCCTGGCCTTGCCGCCAAGCAGCTGTGCCTGCGGCGCTGCCCGTGGGGAGCAGGTGTTGCCTTGGCTTTGCCGAGGCGCTGGTGGGGAGGCTTTGGCCGTCCCCGTTGTCCCCAGTGCTCCTCCCGCAGCCTGGCCGGCCCCCACTGGCAGGGGAG